CCCTCCAGTCTTTAGGCTCACCTCTTCCTATTGTGTATCTTCAATTGCCTTCCTCCCTTCCTCTTCCATGCTCCAGGTTTTCTTTCTTTCTTTCTCTTTCTGCTAAAGGTGTTGTCCTGGTAAATCGTTTGAGCATTCTCATCTCCTCTTGTTTCTGTTTCTCCCTTTTCTCTTCAGGTTGACCCTTATTTTACCTGCTTGTAATTAATCTTTTCTTCCTGCTTTTTCTCTTATCTTTATTGTCCTTATATGCTTCTTGTTAATTCTTGTGTGTCTTTCTCCTGTTCTCTCGTTACCTTTCGCACTCCCTCGCTCCTTCGTCTGCAGTTTCCCACTCTCCCCTCATTGGCATTCCTTTTCTTCTTCTTTGTCCTTCTTTGTCTTCTTTGTCTTTCTCTCTCAGCCTCCTTTCCCTCTTACCCCTTGAGTTGGATTTTTTAAAAGAAGGCAGTCGGTTGTGTGGGGGCTCTATGAGCCCTTCTCCCCCTCCCTTGGAATCTCCTTGTGGGAGGTCTCCCCAAGCGGATCTGCGGGTCTCCTTGAGGGAAAACCAACCCCTGTTGGCTGCTGGACTGACCTCGTTCCATCGGTCTGGGGTGTCTTTCTTAAAGACACCCCCATCTGGGAGGTGAGCAGGTTGCTGTAGGATGGAGCCTCAGCAACCCGTGGCTTCCACCTTGTTGCCCTTCACCGGAAGTCCAAAAGAAAATTTCTATAAGATGATGTAAGATGGTACTTGACACCAGAAAAGCTAACAAAGATGGATCCATTTTTTTAAAAAAAATGTTTGCTGGAAATTTCAACAAAAAGAAGGAACCGTTTACCATATATGGTGGACATGCCCTAAAGCCAAAAAAAATGTATAATAATATAAAAGAATATTGAAGATATCTTAAAAATCAAGGTGCTAGAAGAGCCAGAAGTATTTCTGTAGGGATTTACAAATGCAATATTGCCGAAGAAATTCTTGAAAGTTTTTCTATATATGATATCTGCAGCAAGGATTATCTATGCCTATAACTGGAAACAAATAAAATTGCCAGATCCCTCCAAATTTGAAGAAGACTGGCAGCCTTTTAATAACTTTTTGAAATAAGAGAAGAAAATAAAAACATTAAGTTTTAAATAATAATAAGAAACAATCACTATTACAGAGATGTAAGACTAACAAGAAAAGAAAAAAGACTATCCAGGGGATCCTGAAAAGTTAACTACCAGAAGTAAGAAGACACAAAACAAAAACAATAGTTTTTTTTATTATGATGAAGGCATCTGTATTAGGGCAGGAAGTGTTAGGGCTTTCTGTTTTCTATTTCTTAACTTCCCTGTCTTCTATATTTCTATATATGCTATACTTTCTAGCTATTCCAGCTGGGCCAAGGCCGCAGTGTCATCTTGTCCTTTGTGTCACCACTGCTGCTTCCCATCAGCCTTGGAGCTTCCTGCAAGTTTCTGGCCATCACAGTCAGTTCTGCCCATGTCATAATGGCCCTTTTGTGTGACCAGAAAGGAGGAGATAGAGCAATCTGGTTACATAGGTGCCTTAGTTTGACATCAGCAGACATGACTGCAAAAGTCAGGTTTTCACAGAGAGATCTGTGGGTGATAGGGAGCAGCAGCCGTGATGCAAGGATGACCCATTCCCTTCCCATTTGCAACACACAATGTCTATTTGGACAATGGATTGTGTCAAGGCAGACCCAGCTGTCCAGACTGTCTCAAAGTTCCTTGATACTTTGGAGTTTTCGTGATACTCCATAGTATCCCCTGACTTTGACCACATCTAGTTTTTGAACTACATAATATGAGTCTACAATAACCATATAATACATTGTAGATGGTTTTAAACTGTCTTGTTAAAGCAGAATAAAATCTGGTTAAGAGCAGACAACCTGCAGTACTCACCAGAAATCAGTTTGCATCATGTAGACTGCATTTGTGGTGAGTACAGTTTTAAAAAAGAAATTGTGTGGATAATCCGTATAATAGCAAACTTACCTTTGTTCTATAAACAGCCAAGTGTTTGAGTGCAAAAAGGAATAAGAAAAAAAATGAACAGTGTGAACTTTAAGACCTCAGGCGGAATTTCTTTTCAAGTTTTTTACTGGGTGTATTTTCGTATAAGAACTGTGATTTTATACATAGCAACCGAGAAGAGATGTTTTCTCCCGCTAACTAATTAATAGTGAGAGAGGTCCTTGTTTTCTGTGGGGTCATACACCTTCCGGAAAACAAAAGGGAGAACACAGAGGAAAGGTTATTACATTGTAACAAAATTAATGATGCTAATTGAAGTCTTGCTGTTCTTTAATTATTGATGGCATTAGATAGCTGACCTTCTAGGGTTCCATCATTTGTAAACAAATCCCAATAGATCTCCTCCAATCTCTCAGGGCCCAATAGTGCTAGAAGACATTTGTAAATTAACTAATGAGAGAGAAAAGTGTGTTCTTTATCTAATTTTATTTCCATTCCTGCAGCAGGTTTTCTTTCCAATAATTCCTTTTCACTGAAATTGCAGAAAAAGTTCATTTATTATCCCAAGTTGTGGCATGTTTTCCTTCCAAAATTATGACTGACCACCTCACTTACTAGGCTTTCAAAGAAGATGTTAAATACCACTTTCAAACCAGGAACAGATTTTCTTTATTATTAAAAATGTTTTTATAAAAGCTTTGAAAATTTGCCAAAAATCCATGGATAGGTGAAACATTCTGAAACTTCGTTTGCTAAATGTGTTCTACCACTGCACCACGTTTCATCAGTAAATCTCAAAAAAAATGGGGGAGATAAAAGCCCCTGAAGTTTCCCCATTGACAGTGATGTTTTTCTTAATGCACATGCACAATCGCCATTAATGAGGTACTTGTGAAAGTTTGTAAGTTTTGTTAGAGTTTTGAAATTTTCCCCCCCAAATTTGGAAGAAACTTTAGAAATGAAGTGCCAGCACCCCCATATTTTGAACACAGTTTAGAACCATTTTTATGGCTTGCACATGCCTAATACATAAATAGATAGAGTACACAAAAATCACGAATATGGGGAAGTAATGCATTATATTAAAAGTGCCATATGAAACGAAAACTCCCAGGATTCTATAGCATTCATAGAATCATAGAATCAAAGAGTTGGCAGAGACCTCATGGGCCATCCAGTCCAACCCCCTGCCAAGAAGCAGGAATATTGTATTCAAATCACCCCTGACAGATGGCCATCCAGCCTCTGTTTAAAAGCTTCCAAAGAAGGAGCCATTGAACCAAGGTAGTTAAAATGATGTCAAATAGCATTGATTATACAGTGTAGATATATACTCTCAGCCTCCTATCATATTACATAAGAATATTTAATAAAGAAATAGGGTTGGGTTTTTTTGTCATGTCAGGAGCGATCTTTAAAACTGCAAGTGGCTTCTGGTGTGAGAAAATTGGCCGTCTGCAAGGATGTTGCCCAGGGGATGCCCAGATGTTTTGATGTTTTTCATCCTTGTGGGAGGCTTCTCTCATGTCCCCGCATGAGGAGCTGGAGCTGATAGATGGAGCTCATCCGCACTCTTCTCAGATTCGAACCTGTGACCTGTCAGACTTCAGTCCTGCCAGCACAGGGGTTTAATCCACTGTGCCACAGGGGGCTCTGGTAAAGAAATAGTGATGCAACAATATTCATATATGTGTTTCTCAAATGTTGGGCAACCATAATAAGTAGAATCCTGGACTTTAAAAAGCCATTGCAAAAACCACATTTTTTTCTTGCACAGAAAACAGCACATACCAGTTAAAAGCCAAACTGTGAATAGCCTTTCAAAACTGACCAGTTTACAAATACTTTCTCATAGCAATAAGAAAATAGCCAAATTTACTCAAACTTTCCTCCAACAATGAAATTAGTGAATGCTTACATCCTTAGAATGGGTGGGACAGAGATGTGACTTTTTTCTTTTCCCCTAGGAAAGGAAACATTTCAGAGGAGCCAAGAACCAATCCATTACTTGAAGCCCATTAAAAGATAGCTTTTATTATTTTCAAGCAATCTCTTGCTATATGAGAATATCAACACAAAGAGATTTTGTGTGTGAGTATATGTGTGCATATAAAAATGTAGACTGATTAGTTCTTGAAGAAATCCAAAGTGCTGCCAAGGGAGTTCTAATAACAACTACGGGTCAATATAAATGTAAAGTTATGTATATTCAGTCCTCCCCCATTCCTCAAAATCACATATATACTGATGGGATTTAAGATACCGTGATACAGAGCTAGAAATATATTGATTCAGTATGTATGTGATGTGTGTTAACTTACTATGGAAATTTTTACCATGTTTTATTGGATTGTAATATTTTGTTGTTTGCCATTGCTAAAGCAATAAAATTGAAATTGAATTGAATTGATTCAGTGTGTACCCCACTGTAAAAAGGTTAAAATGCATGCTGGGTGTAATTAGAAAAAGAATTGGAAAATAAATCTGGCACGATCAGATTGTCCTTATACAAGTCTATAACATCTGAAATATTTTATGTAGTTCTTATTATTGGAGTTTGAGAAATACAGGCTGTGTGGCTGGTTATGTGGTTGGACAAAAATGGGTAAGTGTGAAAAACATGGTGCAACTGGAAAATTAATACTGTGGCTTGGAAAAATCAAAGGAAATGGCACAGTCAAATGACAATTTTGGTTAATACAGTTTGGGAGAGATACCACTTTTAGCAGTGCAAGTCTGATATGACTGTAGAAATGAGACTTGCATTGGAAATAATACTGAATAGGTATTTACATTGTACCATAAGAAACTGGAATATTGGTAGTAAATTCACAATTTATTTGTATATACAGTTGACAAGAGTGACTGCTATCACTGGTATTCAGACCATTCTGTTTCTAAAAAGTCATGATCAAATTTTAAACAGCATTATTCCCTACCAAAATATTTTTCAGCATGAAAAAGTAATATTTCTACATGGAAAGAGTGCAGTGAAAATTGTGTTTCTTGTCTTCATAACTATGTCATCTTAAGACATCAGTTCTTAACCTGGCCATCTGAGAGAAGTGATGCCACTGCCTCCTTCGGCCCTGCCTCCTCCGCCTCCCTGAAATGAGGGTGATGGAGGCATTCCAGCAGCTGTCCTCGGGGCAGTGGAATTCGATCTCTGTCTGGTCAGTGATCGTGATGGTGAAGTGCACATACTTGCCAGTCTGCTCCATGCAGTCCACCATCTGGATGGTGCCGAAGCACAGATCCTTCCCGCCACCCCCTTGCTGCCCTTTGGCAAGAACAGGCTCAGCCCATCCACTCACAGCTCTGCCCGCATTTTTTTCCCATAGCTGCAGCATGCTGGTGCTCCACTTCTCCAGCTCCCCCAACCACAGCACTGCAGCTGAAGGAGGAGAATGAGAAAGAGGTGGCAGCAGAGGGCCCTTCATGCTCACAGAGGCAGCACTGCTTCTCCCCGATGCATAGGAATCAGAAACCTTCACATTCAAAGCACCCCCAACAGATGGTCTTCCAGCCTCTGCTTAAAAGCCTCCAAAGAAGGAGCCTCCACCACATGCTGAGGCAGAGAGTTCCACTACAAAACGGCTCTCACCGTCAGGAAGTTCTTCCTAATGTTTAGGTGGAATCTCCTTTCCTGTAGTTTGAAGCAATTGTTCCGCGTCATTTTCAAATATCAGGAGGACTGTGCAGAGAGGCCTGTGCTGTCGGCAGCCACCCTCCAGTAAGTGTGGAGGGAAAGGGTTGCTAGATGCCATCAGCATGGCATTTAGCCACACCCTGAGGAAAAACCCGGGGTTATGGAAGGGTGGGGACTGAAAACCATGAGCAAGCAGGTTTTTTTAAAGCTGTTTCCTCTCATGTTTTAGTTAAGTGTAGAAGGGCCCTTGGGCTCCATACTGCTATCATATTGCAGGTTTAACTGAATTATATGGTCATATGATCCAGTTCAATGCAGTTAAACTGCATTATATGAGTCTACACTGACCATACAATGCAGTTCAATCTGCATTATAATGGCAGTGTAGATACTAGGGCTGCAGAGGCACAGAGTTGGTGCTGACTTGGAACCCTTCCAGACAGGCCTTGTATACCAGGATCTTATCCCAGGTTTTCTGTTTATCCCAGATTATCTGGTGGTGCAGATTCATATAATCCAGTTTAAAGCAGAAAACCTGGGATCAGGTCCTGAGATATAGGGCCTATCTAGAATCACAGAATCAAAGAGTTGGAAGAGACCTCTGCCGATCTCCCCCTGCCAAGAAGCAGGAATATTGCATTCAAATCACCCCTGACAGATGGCCATCAGCCTCTGTTTAAAAGCTTCCAAAGAAGGAGCCTCCACCACACTCCAGGGCAGAGAGTTCCACTGCTGAACGGCTCTCACAGTCAGGAAGTTCTTCCTCGTGTTCAGATGGAATCTCCTTTCTTGTAGTTTGAAGCCATTGTTCCACTTCCTAGTCTCCAGGGAAGCAGAAAACAAACTTGCTCCCTCCTCCCTGATATCTCTCTTGAATTGTGGTGCCCAGAATTGGACACAATATTCCAGGTGTGGTCTAACCAAAGCAGAATAGAGGGGTAGCATTACTTCCCTAGATCTAGACACTATGCTCCTATTGATGCAGGCCAAAATCCCATTGGCTTTTTTTGCCTCCACATCACATTGTTGGCTCATGTTTAACTTGTTGTCCACGAGGACAATTACAGATCCACCTCACCGTAGTTTTGCCTAGCCCACATTGGCCTAGTTTCCTTGCCAGAAGGTCATGGGGGACCTTGTCAAAGGCCTTACTGAAATCCAGGTACGCTACATCCACGGCATTCCCCGCATCTACCCAGCTTGTAACTCTATCGAAAAAAGAGATCAGATTAGTCTGGCATGACTTGTTTTTGATAAATCCATGTTGACTATTAGCAATGACCTCATTTGTTTCTAAGTGTTTGCAGACCACTTCCTTAACAATCTTTTCCAGAATCTTGCCTGGTATCGACGTGAGGCTGACCGGACGGTAGTTGTTTGGGTCATCCTTTTTTCCCTTCTTGAAGATTGGGACCACATTGGCCCTCCTCCAATCTGCTGGAACTTCTCCTGTTCTCCAAGAACTCTCAAAGATGGTTGCCAATGGTTCCGAAATGACTTCCGCTAGTTCCTTCAATACTCTTGGGTGTAGTTGATCTGGCCCTGGGGACTTGAACTCATTTAGAGCGGCCAGGTATTCCTGTACGACTTGTTTCCCAATTTGGAGTTGGATGTCCTCAAATCCCTCATCCACTCTGTCTTGCTGAGGTTGAAGATGACTTTCTTTTTGTGAGAAGACCGAGGCAAAGAAGGTATTAAGTAATTCTGCCTTTTCCCTATCCCCTGTCAGCATTGCCCCATCTTCTCCTCGAAGAGGCCCTATCGCCTCCTTGTTTTCCTTTTTCTACTGACATAAGAAAAGAATCCCTTTTTATTGTTTTTAATGTCCCTGGCAAGCCTGAGCTCGTTTTGTGCTTTAGCCTTGTGGACCTTTTCCCTACAGGTGTTGGCTATTTGTTTGAATTCTTCTTTGGTCTAGAAGGGCCCTTGTTGAAATATACCATTTGTTTTAATTTTATCTCTTACAGGTCCACTTTGATAGTTTTGATTTAATGGGTTTCTTCTCTTATGGCACATTTTGAATGTACCTGGTCTTCTCTATGGGATGCTCAGTGTCACATGTGGCATTTGAGAATCAGCAGGTTCTTAGAGTGGGCTATTAAATTGTAGAATGGGTTTAGAGGGATCGTACATTATTTCAATGTGTTCCTGCTCTCTGTAGCTATTTAACACAGGAATTGAGAGTCCCTTTTGCTCAAGAAAAGATGAAGGGACTTGCTTATTCATTGGTATTTGGGGGATTTAAATTAACACAGTTACATAAACTGTCCATTGAGAAAGTTTTGTATTGTTGAGACTTAACTTTTTTAAAAACTCCCTTATTTCTGAAATTGGTTTAAAATAAAATTTTAGTTTTTAGCAATGTAGTTTTACATATAGATCCCAAAACATAAACATTTATTTTACAAAATGTAAATAGGAAAATTTCCAATTGTCTTTTTTGAGAATATAATGCATTTGTGTATTGTTTTCATAAATATACAAATATTACTTTCTTGTATTCCTTTCAGTTTGAAAGCATTGGGATGACACAATGAAAGAATAGACTTAGATTAGCATACTTTTAGCATATTTGGTGTCAACAGCCAATATATTGCTTCATTGCTGCTCATCTATTAGTCACTCCGTATACTGAAATATTAACATTTGTTCAACCAGATTTACAGAGATTAAAGCAGGGTATAATAATAATGTCTGCAAATTTTATATGCGGTAGTTGTTACACCTCATTAAACAAACTGGCAAATGATCCATTTCTATACAATTAACATGCAGCAATTAAATCTCTCATATAAATTAACTCTTGATTCATGTCATTTACTTTTAAAGTGTAATTAAAAACTTTTTCAGCTTTCAAACGTCAGGATTTTAAATTTATTTATAACATACCATACTCAGCCTGTATTGTTATTGTACTGCAGGTACATTGCAAGTTTTTTTGGCATTCGCTGCTATAGTTTATATTACTGCACATATTGTCACAAATATATGCATTTTTGCAAATACTATCAACTGTCATGCATGGTGTTTTTTTTTAAAAAATAAAACCTCCTAATTTTACCGGTGCCAATGTGTCAGGAATGTTAGATGAACACTTTGTTTCACTCCCCAAATAAGAGCCATCACTATGCTTAATAATGCTATAAAATCTTCATGCTAACATCAACTAATCTCCAACCAATGTTGAAAGTCAGTGTTAAAAATCCCAACAAGAGAAACAGCTCAGCAGAAGGGCAGCCATATTCTGTGAATCTTTGCCCAATATCAAATATGGAAACTAGGTCTGTCCAACCACAGAAAAATTTGTTTCTAAACTCGATTCGTTTTTAGGGGTTTTTGCGTTTCGTTATTTAAAAGAATTCCGAATTTTTTCTTTTAAAAAGTTCGATATTTACGAAATTTCGGAAATTACGAAACAATTTCGAAACAATAACGAATCGATTCGTTAATGGCGGACGCGATTGCGCAATACGCTAAAAAACCCTCCAAATGGGACAGGGGGAACTTCTGAAGCTTCCCTCTCCCTCTGTTGTTGACTGTTGGTGTGATAATTTTTTTTTATCACTGATAAAACAAACAACGACTATAAAACTTGCACCAGACATACGGAAATAATAACGAAATAATAACGAAACAATTTCGAAACAATAACGAAACGAATTGGAAAAATTTGTTTCGTTTTTTAGTTGCTCCTGAATGGTTCAATATCGCTTCGTTATAAAAAAAATAACGAATTAATAACGAATTACGAAATTAATGAACGAAACCGCCCAGCCCTAATGGAAACTCCTATTATCAATATCAAAGGGACTTTACCCTGTGGTATGCTGAGTTGCTGTATCAAGGCTCTAGTATTAAAAGAAATTCATTTCTTTCTCATGCCTTACAGACTGGAATCTTTACATTAAGCTAACATTTCACACGTTAATATCATTTTGTCAAGTCATTCCTTCAAAATACATGGGCAGATAAATATCCATCAAGCTAAAAATTTCTAGTAAAAGTTTTGGTCAATCATTTTCAGTCTCTTTACATGTGAACAATTCAGTCATCATTCTTTGTATTTCAAATGAGATTTGTTGGGTAGAAATGTATCTGTGTTAGTTTGTCTTTCGGAGGAAAAGTCTCTGAAGTGTAAACTTTTTTTCTAAATTAGCTCAAGTGCAGCCATTTCAATTTCTCTTTCAAAACCCAGAAAGTGTCATATAGGATGGAACAATTTAGGACTTCAAATAAAGAATAATGAGAATGATTAACAACTGAGAAGTGTTTGCATAAGTCACGATAGCATCTACTGTCCTTAAGCACTGACCATGCTACATAATGGGTGCTGGAGGTTTGGGGCACCTGATAGAGGGAAAATGTGACAGCAGTTTGCTTGAACTTTGGGTTCATTTGAATTTTGTGTAACATTTTAGGCTAGTTTATTAAGGAGATTTTAAAAATAAACAGTGGTGAAATGAGCAGAAGGAATTTTTATCCTTTTGAAGAGCCATCACATTTGGCAGTGCCTACAACAATCTTCAAAGGTTATAACTCAAGAACATTCCTGAGAGTTCCATTCTCCTAATTTATTTCACTGATCTAAGATATAACAACAACAACAACAACAACAACAATTACAACAACATATTGTCGAAGGCTTTCATGACCGGAATCACTGGGTTGTTATAGGTTTTTTCGAGCTATATGGTCATGTTCTAGAGGCATTCTCTCCTAGGAGAGTTGTTGTTGCTGTTGTTAGGAGAGAATGCCTCTAGAACATGGCCATATAGCAAAAAAAAAAAACCC